CCGCAGCAGAGGCACCTGGCACACGGCTCCAGCCCAGCCAGGGACCTACCAGGCATAAGTCTTTCACCACCACCTCGTTGGCCATCTCCTGCTCCTTCAGCTTCACCTTCAAGGAGCGCAGGTCTTTCCACAGGTTCATCTCCTGGGCCCAGTGATCCTTCTGGGCCCGTTTCAGAGACAGGGTGTCCTCTGCCTTCAGCTCGGTCAGGTTTTCCTGGTGTTCGTACAACAGGTGCTTCACTTTCTGCTTGTAAACCTGGAGACAAGACACGGGTGGGTGTCAGCAGGAGGCAGAGCTGGGACATTAGCCAAGGCACTCCTGGCTTGCATCCCACCCAGCTCCTCCCTCTCCTTGCCAGAGTCTCATCCGGAGCTTGGGGCACTCACAGCACCTCCCAGGCTCCTCCCTCCCCACCTTGATCTCCACTTGATGCCGTTCCTCCGCCTCCTCCATCTCCCGGTCCTTGTTCCGCAGCTCGGCTCTCTTCTCCTCCAGCTGCCGCCGGGTGATGTCCCAGAAGGTGTGAATCTTATCACGCTCCAGCTGGAAGTAGTTGCGTTCTTCCCGTTCCCGGTCCAGCTCCTCCCGGAGACGCACAATGTGGTTTTCCAGCTGCAAAGCCAAAGGGAAGAGCCAGGTAAGGGGACAGACACCCAGGGCGAGCTGTGTCATAACCCTGGCAGGACACAGCAGCTGTTACTGGGACGGAGAAGCGCAGGAGGTTGCCTGGATTGGAAAAGCCCTTGAAGATCATCGAGTCCAACCATGAACCCAACACTGACAAGTCCCCTATGACTAACCCATGTCCCTCAGCACTGTGTCTACACGACTCTTCGATCTCTCCAGGGATGGGGACTCCACCACTGCCCTGGGCAACCCCTTCCAATGCCTCAGAACCCTTGCAGCAAAGAAATTCTTCCTCACATCCCATCTCAACTGCCCTGGCCACAACTGGAGCCCATTTCCTCTTGGCCTGTCCCTTGGTCCTTGGTTGAACAGACCCACCCCCACCTCTCTCCACCCTCCTCCAAGGGACTTGCACAGAGCCACAAGGTCTCCCCTCAGCCTCCTTTTCTCCAGGCTCAACACCCCCAGTTCCCTCAGCCACAAGGGAACTCAGCACACTTGTGCTCCAGACCCTTCCCCAGCTCCGTTGCCCTTCTCTGGACACGCTCCAGCACCTCCATGTCCTTCTTGGAGTGAGGGGCCCAACACTGAACCCAGCACTTGAGCTGTGGCCTCACCAGTGCCCAGTACAGAGGTGAGAGAACTTCCCTGGTCCTACTGGCCACAGAAGTGCTGATCCAGGCCAGGATGCCCTTGGCCCTCTTGGCCACTTGGGCGCTCTCCTTGCATTGAGATGTCCAAGACCTTATCCCAGGAGTGAGGTCCCAGGCCAGGGCCAGGTCCTCCTCTGTTTTCCTGGCAAAACAAGGGGGATCTGGAGGAATTGAGGGGAAACAGCTGCACCTTCCACCTCTGCCTGCCCTCCCTGCACCTACAGGAGCCTCCTGCCCCCACAGCAGCGCGGCTGAGAGCGCAGCAGGCTGCGGTCACAGAGCTCAGGCTGCCGGGGGTAAGGAGCCAAGGAGAGGACAGTGAGTGCCCCGGAGC